TTACGGTGGTCCCGGCGGCCCGGGTTGGGCTGTTATAGGGGGCGGCAGGGCTATAGGGGCAGACTGTGCTGCGGGGAGCGAGGTAGGGCTATGCTGCAGGGCACAGGGCTGTGCCACAGGCTCCCTGCGGGGCTATAAGGGGCCAGGCAGAGCTTTCCTTTAGGAGACTGGCTATAGTGGGCTGGGCAGGGCTGTGCTATATAGGGCCAGGATGCTCCCTGCTCCGGGGCTGTGCCAGGCTGGGGGCGGTCTCGGTGGGCAAAGCGGGCGCGTGGCTGGGAGGTAGGGCTATGCTGCAGGGCACAGGGCTGTGCCACAGGCTCCCTGCGGGGCTATAAGGGGCCAGGCAGAGCTTTCCTTTAGGAGACTGGCTATAGTGGGCTGGGCAGGGCTGTGCTATATAGGGCCAGGATGCTCCCTGCTCCGGGGCTGTGCCAGGCTGGGGGCGGTCTCGGTGGGCAAAGCGGGCGCGTGGCTGGGGACCCTGCATGTGGATGTGCCCGGCAGGTTGCTGCGCTGCCCTGCGCTGCAGCGAGGGGCTGGAGTGGGTCTGGGGGAGCAGCCGGGTCCCACGCGCAGGAGCAGCTCGTGTGAGGAGGGCTCCTGCCTCCTGTTTTCCAGATGCTTGCTCAGCCGCACAGGGAGTGCCAAAGTTCTGGCTCTTTCCAGAAGCTCTGCTGTGGCCGCACCAGGAAGGTGAGTGGCAGACGGTGCCATGGTCATAGCTAGGCTTACTGGCAGAGCAGTATGTTGCGTAGGGGAATTTAGAAAAAGATCCCATTGGTGCTCCCCTAGTTCATGATGTTCCTTAGCACGTATAGGGTTTGGTGCCCCGGAGGTGTGCCCTGAACGTGCATCAACCAGGGCATCTGGAGTTTATGTCAGGGCTCTACTTGACTGCTGGCCCTTTGCCATAGGGTGGCTCCTTCTGTTCTTTGCCAGGGCCTTTTGGAAAAGAGAAACAGAAGTGAGTGATTTGTCCTTCCTCCTTCAGAAACTGCCAGGGTCCCCTCAGCAACTTCCAAAGCAATCTGGAAGAAAGGCCAAGGAGAAGAAGGCCGTATTTTGGGGCATTGAAGTGGCAGAAACCCTCAGCTGGCATGGTTGGGAGCTTGGAAAAGAGATGATCAAACATCTAATTCTGAAAAACGTTCATGTGAAAACCCAGAAGCTGAGCTACAGGTGTGTAGAAAGTTTCCTTCTCCTTTGTATTCCATACTCTTTTGCTACATCTTTATCCCTCCTGCTGTACCAGTCACCTTAGCACACTTCCTTGGACTTAGTCTACCAGCTCCCTCCTTGGGCTGCTTGCTGGTGACAGCGTGCACGCACATGCATAGGACAGAAACCTGCTAATTCAGTCACACAGCCCTTGTTTCTGGCAGGAGTTTCTTAAACAAAATGCCTCTTTAATATTCTGTTTTGCTGATACTTCTGTCTGTGAGCCTTTTCCAGTCTAGTGAGATTTTAATTGTGGATGTATGCCAGCCAGCCACTACTGTGTCCTGAAACCACTGCTCGCAGGAGTCCCTCTGGATGCTGAACCACTACAGCAATCCCTGTGACACTCTGTGCTCTGAAGCTCCGATGTCACTGCTCTTAATAAGTGCTTGGCTCATGCTGCATGATCTGGGAATGTAAAATACGGTTCAAAAAAGGAATATATGTTTAGGATTGGAAATGAA